TCAAACAACTTCTAGACATGTACAGAATACCGTTATCTTTATGTAAAGTAGGCAATATATCAAACAACTTCTAGACATGTACAGAATACCGTTATCTTTATGTAAAGTAGACAACAGTACACTAGTCTACTGGACCTGTACCCACTCCATCATTCAGCAAGTTTACAACAGTCTATCAAACCTGTACCTTTCGTTAATTGTGTTTCTAACTCACCGACTCAACATGAGCATCCAGCCTTCCTCTTTTCTTCCTCTGACCATCAGTTGACCCCTGGTCACTCTGCTGGCTGGATGAGGGAGTTCCTACAGAGATAAAGCCCTTTGATTTACCAAGACACTGTTTATCCACTTAGCTTGAGTATAAAAACAATGTAGTAGAACACATTCATACTTTAACCCTATCGCCACAGTTTCCTTTACTGCACATCATACAAGGTTTTAGTGTCTTACAAAATTTTATTAAACCACTTTTTGTTTATGTTATACCAATTATAATAACATAAAATCTTAGCTAATAACCCATATTTTAATAGTATACAAGGTTTAAGTTCTTAATTCCACAAGGCACAATTTAAAAAAATCCCACAAGTGTGAACCACATGACACATTTTCTTTTAGCATGTCATCATCCCTATTTTATCTACAACTCCTCGAAAAAGTACAAAATTAAATGTAAATTACTCTATATAAAATCGTCATTGTTCAGACAAACAATACTTTTTATAGTTTTCAATTTTGTTTGGTTACAGAGCTATCAAATAGAAAATGAGACCCCTCCTACCACACCCATCTGTCACATCATCTCTTTCATGAAAAATCGTTGATAGTTCTTTCTTACGTTTAATTACATATTACCTATAACCAATAGAAAGTCAAGGTTTTCATCTATCACGTGAAGTATTATATTACATTGTGTTCTGAATAGTTAAATTTCAATTTCGCTCAGAATACAAACATCGTTTCCGTGGGAAAGTTAACAACTAGCTTGGATGAATTTCTATCAACTCTTGTCACATAGTTAGAAAGCCAGTAAAATTTTGAGAGGTAAGGGAATTAATTTATTAATTAGTATAAAAGGATTAGGGTTAACTCTCTTCGAAACCTGAGAGCAAGAAAAAAGAAGATTGGTTCAGTATTTTATTTCATGTTTTATTATTATTATAAAAATAAGGATCCTGTTAGGTTAGGTAAAGTAAGTAATTAAAATGGTTAACAAGGCACACGTGCGACCAGCTTGTGGGTAATGTAATTCAATAGTGTAACGTAGATCAGTCGTGGAACATGTAACTCGCGTTACACTATTGAATTACATGTTTTTATTGCCCTTTGAACAGTGTCTAATTACTCTACGCACCATTATAATTCGTAAATCAGTCGTGGAACATGTAACTCGCTCCGCACCATTATAATTCTAGTAATTAGACACTGTTCAAAGGGCAATAAAAACATGTAATTCAATAGTGTAACGCGAGTTACATGTTCCACGACTGATCTACGAATTATAATGGTGCGGATAGTAATTAGACACTGTTCAAAGGGCAATAAAAACATGTAATTCAATAGTGTAACGTGAGTTACATGTTCCACGACTGATTTACGAATTATAATGGTGCGGATAGTAATTAGACACTGTTCAAAGGGCAATAAAATAGATGTATACTGTTAAGAGTATAATACTATATAAGAAAGAAAAAATGGGTAATTTTGATTTTTTTTTTGGTCGTTATGAGGTTGGTTGAATTGACAATAACAGATAAACTATAAAGTTTTACTGAAAAAACTTTTAAAAGCATTTAGAAGGTTTTAGTGATTACACAAAAGAAATCTGAGATTTTTGAATGAGGAAAGTTACTTTACACACGGACTATTCATGGACAAATCTTTATTTTATTAAAAATACTTCACCAAAAAGATATGACTTTTTGTATGTGAAAGACTTATAATATGAAATGAAAGACTGCCAATTTTCATGAAGATATACCCAATATATAAGTATTAAATCTAAAAAAGTACAAAGAGGTCACGTGGTCGGACAAATTGACCGAGCCCGTGTTGAGAGAGTTAACTAGTTAAATTAAAAATGCATCCCATGTTGGTGCTTGTTAAAACAAGGTATGTATATGTCACAAGTTCCTGTCCACTTAGTATTAACGTGGTTTAGAAATACAAAATAAACAAAAGCACGAAAATGGGACTCTAATATCACAGAGTTATTACTTATCAGTATACTGATATAACATAATGTACATTATACCTATATTTATATGTTATCAACAAATCAAGTGTGTGTGTGTGGTTTTTGTTTAAATAGCTGAAATTTTTTTTATTATACACACACAGTTACCACTTTCCGTTAAAATGACTATTTACTAAAGAAATGGTCAGGAGCTGATGCATAGTAAAAACACCTTTATCTTAACATCCTACCATAATTAAATACTAAGTTGAAAGTCGGGCAACACATGCTCAAAACCACAGACATACACTCTATATTAAGTCAGAACAATTCACGTTTTTGGCATTAAATTTTGGGATGCTGGTAATTTCTAGAATTTATGTGACAATGAAAACTCGCCTCTCTGTTTTCCTCTAGACGATGTAGTTAATCTAACACTACCATGACAGCTCACACCACTGTTTTCCTCTAACACTACCTTGACAGCTCACTCCTCTGTTTTCCTCTAGACAATGTAGTTAATCTAACACTACCGTGACAGCTCACTCCTCTGTTTTCCTCCATACGATGTAGTTAATCTAACACTACCCTGACAACTCACCTCTCTGTTTTCCTCCATACGATGTAGTTAATCTAACACTACCCTGACAGCTCACTCCTCTGTTTTCCTCCATACGATGTAGTTAATCTAACACTACCCTGACAACTCACCTCTTTGTTTTCCTGGTTTTTCTTGGGATGGTGTGGTTGACCTCTCTTTTCCATTTTCCTTTTTAGTAGTTGGTGTTTTATTCTTCTTATTCTTCCTATGTAAAAAAGATTAATACATTATCTCATACTTTATATATATCTTTATAAATATAATATATATAAATATAAAATATATAAATATAAATATATTTATTCTTCCTATGTAAGAAGATTAATACATTATCTCATACTTTATATATATATCCGAATACCACATTTTATATTGATAATATTAAATACATAAGTTTCACTTTCTTAATCTCTAAAAGTGACATTTTGATATCTTTAATAATGTTTTCTGAAAAAATTGTAGCAATCAACTAAATACAGATAACTATTACTTTGATTTTACATTCTTTCCTGTCTTCTCTATTCAAAGCAAATAACACTTTTAAAGTTTAGAAATTATTATAACTATGTTATGCTGTAAAATAAATCAAGATTTACTGTACCAAGATACCCGTAAATCAAGATTTACTGTACCAAGTTACCCGAAAATCAATATTTACTGTACCAAGTTACCCGAAAATCAATATTTACTGTACCAAGTTACCCGAAAATCAATATTTACTGTACCAAGTTACCCGAAAATCAATATTTACTGTACCAAGTTACCCGAAAATCAAGATTTGCTGTACCAAGTTACCCGTAAATCAAGATTTGCTGTACCAAGTTACCCGTAAATCAAGATTTACTGTACCAAGTTACCCAAACTTATGATGTTTGTGACACTTAAAGTAACAGGAAATTACTGAATTTATTGTTCTAATTATTCTTAACAAAACTTGATTACTAAACTGGCATTCGATTAGAATTTTGTTTTTAACCCGTATTCAAATAATTGATAACAAAGACAATGTCATGTGTATTTTAATATGTATTTGTTTATTGTAGGTTGAAAGCTATCGGTATTAAAACTTACAGGCTGGCTACAAGTGCATATTCAAATATTTGTATTTGTCATGTGAACCAAGTTAATTTAACTATAAGCTTTTCTTCCGAGTCCATCGTCTCATAGTTCGTCATGCTTTACTCCCTCATTATGTTTGAGAGATTGCATTGAACTCTGGCATGATCCAGTTTCAATCACCGTGACCGTAACATTCTGTAGTGGATACTGATTGGTAGCTTCATTGACGAAGATGCAGTTAAAAAGTTAAGATATATATTCAGAGGCTGTGATTGGTGAAACTTTATGATTGGTGTTCAACAGTCAGACTGACAGTCTGTGACTGGTGAAACTTTGTGAATTACATTCAACACTCAAACTGACAGGCTGTGACTGGTGAAACTTTGTGAATTACGTTCAACAGTCAAACTGACAGGCTGTACTTGGTGTTCAACAGTCAGATTGACAGTCTGTGATTGGTGAGACTTTGCAAATTACATTCAGCACTCAAACTGACAGGCTGTGATTGGTGTTCAACAATCAGACTGAGAGTCTGTGATTAGTGAAACTTTGTGAATTACATTCAACACTCAAACTGACAGGCTGTGATTGGTGTTCAACAATCAGACTGACCGTCTGTGATTAGTGAGACTTTGTGAATTACATTCAACACTCAAACTGACAGTCTGTGATTGGTGTTCAACAGTCAGACTGACAGTCTGAGAGTGGTGAAACTTTGTGAATTACGTTCAACAATCAGACTGACATCAAAATTCTTTAGAAAATGAGAAAAGTCCTCAAAATATGACATAAAACACCCAAAATATTAAAATACAAACTAAACATTCATATTCAGATATTTATTTCAGCTCTACTAATACTACAATATTTAATATAACAAAATATAGTCCAATAATGGTTATAAGTACATTGAAAGAATGTGTAAACACCGTAACAAAACCTGACTATTACTGCATCAGAATCTTGTTTGGTAATTTACCTTCCCTTTAAGACACTCAGCATGTCCCCATAACTGGAAGTTTTTTCAGTGTAGTTCAACTAATTTTCAAACATATACAGGTTTAAGACTATGTCAGGATGATTACTTAGAACATTTGCTACCTGACATGTTTGTTTATTGGCTCTAACACTACAGTTACAGAACTTAATAGGGTTATGTCAATTTTCTAACATTTTAATATGGTTCAATCTTTACTCTTGTGTCATGAACAGTTAACCCCTTAATCAGAAGAAACACGTGTCTGTTTGTGATAAAGTACAAAGAAACAACCACACAATGAATATTTTCTGTACACATTACCACACACCTTTATATCATAGAGAAAATGTGATTAGTGCATGCACTGAGTGACAGTCTTGTGATTTCCAATATTCACATTAAACACTGAGAATTCCACAATACACAGGTGATTAGTGCATGCACTGAGTGACAGTCTTGTGATTTCCAATATTCACATTAAACACTGAGAATTCCACGATACGCAGGTGATTAGTGCATGCACTGAGTGAGTCTTGTGATTTCCAATATTCACATTAAACACTGAGAATTCCACAACTCGGGTGATTAGTGCATGCACTGAGTGACAGTCTAGTGATTTCCAATATTCACATTAAACACTGAGAATTCCACAACATAAAACAAAATTCTATGTTTCTAATCCAGTGCAGGTTTCCATTTTAATACTAAATCAATACCAATTCTGATAATACAATAGAACCTTTATTAACAGGCACTGCACCATTAAGGGCAGACCTTTTCAGTCTGCATATTTTTCTACTATTTGTAACCAAAATAAATCGTCCAATAACGGGTCCCCACGATATTCTGGACTAAGGGCTGTGTTTTTAGTCTTATTCTCTATATGGACACTTGATAAAGTGGGCAGTTATCTTTTTATGCCTGTACAGTATATCCACTAAATTCCAAACATCCCAGAAAGATGACCAATATTCAAACACTTGCTACATTTATTGGATCGGCTCCGAACTGTAATAAATGTCTTTACAGATTCAAAGTGCAATCTTATTACTCTGGAGGATTCTCATTGTAAACACTATAGGATACATCGTGTTCTCGGAGCAGGGATCAAGTCAGCTTGTGTCTGTGCGCACGGTTTGTTGATTTTGAGAGTACTGTATTATGGTGTCACAGTGATTTGTTGCTATATTTATTGGATCGGCTCCGAACTGTAATAAATGTCTTTACAGATTCAAAGTGCAATCTTATTACTCTGGAGAATTCTCATTGTAAACACTATAGGATACATCGTGTTCTCGGAGCAGGGATCAAGTCAGCTTGTGTCTGTGCAGTTTGTTGATTTTGAGAGTACTGTTTTATGGTGTCACAGTGATTTGTTGCTATATTTATTGGATCGGCTCCGAACTGTAATAAATGTCTTTACAGATTCAAAGTGCAATGTTATTACTCTGGAGAATTCTCATTGTAAACACTATAGGATACATCGTGTTCTCGGAGCAGGGATCAAGTCAGCTTGTGTCTGTGCGCACGGTTTGTTGATTTTGAGAGTACTGTTTTATGATGTCACAGTGATTTGTTGCTATATTTATTGGATCGGCTCCGAACTGTAATAAATGTCTTTACAGATTCAAAGTGCAATCTTATTACTCTGGAGAATTCTCATTGTAAACACTAT